CCAAAACATCACCATGGAGACAAGCAGGTGACGGATCTTCCATGGAAAAATGCGACATATAGTGCACCATACAGACTTCACGTAGCTTGTTTTGGTTATGTACAAGTGAAAAAGGTGCACTATACTCAATGTTTGTTTGTGGACCGCAGCCCACCCGAGCCTATTCCTCTCTTCCCCAGATGCTTGCTACTTGTCAGCCTCCGTAATGGGTTTTTCGGGGCTAGATATTATTTTGGTCCAGTAAGCTGCGTGCTTAAAATATGAGTGACAGGCTTGACTCACTTTTCCAAGAAGCAGAATTTAGTTTTTAAAGAAAGCTGCCAGAATTTGAACTGCTCTGCCACGGCAACAAAAATGAATCGACTTTATTAAAGGGGGTACATTCTGCAACAAATCTATCTTTTTGTATTGATTTTGCACCTTTTTATTTGACTTATTTCAGGCTAATAATTCAATGCTTTTTGTTCTTTTTCAGTGGATGATGCATTTATGTTTGTATTTTATTCTGTTATGCACAATTTTCAAAGCTTTTAATCATGTTCTAGATATTTTACCTCACCTTTTATTCACCTAAATTTGTATTTTGAGTGATTTGTGGAAGTTGGACTAATCTTGAATCGCTTATTTTTAAGCCTTTTTGCCAATCACTTTTTCCCGTTTACATCAGCCCACTGCTCTGTGCTGAATTTGTTCTCTAATTTTATTTTCCTAATCATTGATATACATATGGATTCTGCAAAAAAGAAAGCCATCCATCGACAGCAGCTCTTTTTTGTGATGAGATTTACGGCGAATATTGTGATTTAAAATTGACATATTATACGATAATGATCCACGGGTGTCATAGATTATAACTATATAGCAGACGCAAGCACAATAGTTCTTCTTTAACAACAAAATTGTATCATTCATGAGTAAAATAATAGTATATGTACATAATAAGTACTGTAGTTTATAGGGAGAAAGTTGAGTAACAGATTGCAGGCAATAAGGACAACAATACATCCAAAACAAAAACTTCCCTTGACTAAAATGTCCTATATCTTCTTTCTCTCCATTTGTCTGTGTGCGTCTCCCTCTTATTCCCGCTTCCTAAGAAGATAGATGAGGAAAATGAGGCCAACTTGCTGGCAGTGCTTACAGAGACCCTGGACAGTATCCCGGTGGATGAGGACGGATTGCCTTCGTTTGAGGCCTTGGCAGACGGAGACGTGACCAATGCCAGTGACCAGAGCTGCCCCTCCTCCCCCTGCGGCTCCCCCCACACCCCCGAGCCCGAGGAGCCTTCCCTGGTAAGACCCGACCCTCCCTTTCCTCTCCTCGCCCCCTCTCCTCCCCCTTTGCCATCATTATACCCTCCATCCAAATTCATGTTGTTTTGGAGACTCTGCAGCTCCGGGTGCATGCTGCCAGTCTGTGTTGAACAACCGATAAGGCACTTTGACAACCCCTTGGCACCAGAAGGCCCTATTCTTCCCACTGATGTGTGGTCATAACCGACTCGGACACATTTCCTACATTGTGCGCCGAGGCAAAAAAAAGAAAAAAGAAAACAGCACAGAGGAATAAATGCATTGGATGTGGTGCTAATTACATAACAGTGTGACTATGGCAGAAGCTCAGTGTAGTAACAAGTGCCCGGGCCAACTGTGGATGTAACTGTCAGGGGTGCTGGAATCAAACTGGGACATAATTAAAGTATTTGATAAAAGAGAATAGAAATCTCTCTGGTTTTGCTAAGTATGTTTGTTCTGTAGTACAAAGTGAAACTAACTACAAATTGTTTTTTACTGATCTTGTACAGCTTTTGTTGTAATGTAAATCTACGCCCTACGTGTATTTGTCCCTTTAGACATTCTGCATACTTTTTTAATGATTTCATAGGTGTTAGGTGCATTTTTTTTTTAGATTTTAATGAGCGAAAGACAAATTAAGTACTAAAAATTAGCAGTACTGTTGTTAATACTGGTGGTAGTACTTTCTAACTTGTATTTTGTGCAAGACTTATTATAGAACTTTGTAATATCATTTCTTAAGTCCATGCTTCCATATTTGTCTCGATTTGAATTTGGTTTATAAAGTTAAAATATGTCTACTCTCATATCCCTCTGCACTGAAAAAAAAACTTAAATAAATAAATAAATAAATAACAACAACAACAAAAAAAGGTCTACTGTGAATTAGCATCTTTGTTTTGGCTTTAATTTAGGACCTTGATTCAAACTCTCTTGAGACAGACACTAGAATCTAGCATTAATAACAAACAAGATTTAAAAAAAGAAAATGATTTTTTTTTACAATTCAAAGTAGGTTGAGGGCGTGCGAGCGAGACAGGAGAAGTTGCAAATGATTTAACAAAGCAGGAGTCTTGTGACTGTTACAAAATACCATTGCCTTTTGGTTCCATACTGGTTGTTTCTATATGACCTTTAGACCAACTGACAGCACTGTTTACTCCAACACATTAGAGAAGCTTTGTGCTGTTTACATAGAAACACTGGGAAATGTGACCTGGGTTATCATGTAGCTCAGTCTCATAAATTAAATACTTTTTGTACACAACTAAAGGTTTTCTTACTTCAAATGATACTGCACAAAAACAGATAAAAGTAGTATTCAGATCATATATATATATATATATATGATGTTTTCGATTTGTTGTGGTATTTTTTACACTACTTATTCACACCATTCAACTAACAGAATGACACTACTAAATGTACTTAGTTAAATGTCTTCAGTGAAATTATCTAATTACTTTCCTCTTATAATTTCCTGCTCCACTCCACCACGGCACCATTTGAATTACACAAGCCTAATTGAAAGAACATCCGAATAACCTCACTTCCCCTCTGCTTCTGCTTCTCCTTCTTCTTCTTCTTCTTCCTCTCTTGTTCCTCGTCCGCTCGCAGCTGAAGAAGCTCCTCCTGGCGCCTGCAAACTCCCAGCTCAGCTATAATCAATACACAGGTGGCAAGGCACACAACCATGCAGCCAACAGCAACCACCGGATCCGACCACCACCTGCCGTCGTCAAGGTAGGGACAAAGCGTGACAAATGTAGCCGCGGAGGGTATACGCGCCGTGGCCCTCCGCTGACTCCTCTCCACTCCTCATGTTTTCTACTATTTATTTATTCATCCTTGTGTCTTGGTGGCCGCTTTTAAAAGAGCGCTGGTTTGTTCTCCCAGGAGTCCAGCTCGTAATGAAAACAGGCTGATTGCTGTTGGGCTTTTCCAGGCGCTGCACAGACACTGTAGTCTCATTAGTGCTTCCACTTATCGCCCATGTAGAGTGTGGAATGTGTAGGAAAGAAAAAAAAATATGCCTGGCAGTTGTGTGGTGAGATTGATGCTTTGAGATGACAAGATCAAAATATCAGACTTGAAATTCTCATTAGATGGATCTCTAAAGAGTTGTGCCTTCTGAAGGGGTGGGGCTGATTAAGATTAATGCTAGTCAGTTAAAGTATCGTATGCTTGTGAATGTGAATAAATGGGGTGTGTGATTTCGGTAATGTCTTTGCATTTGGCATCAGGACATGACACGCTCTATGTTGGATGTCATATTTAGCTTCCAGCGTGTCATCATTTGCTCTTGTTTGAGAAAAAATGTCTGAAATCTCTATTTGTTCTGCTTTCCCCGGTGCCTCAAATCCTGTGGATATAGAGGAGCATGTGGATGTGATGATATTGTGTGACTGCATATAGCGTGTTTGCACATTGCAGAGCTGCAACCTTCCACACACGGTCTATTTTCATACTGTGCCTTTGAGTCATCTGTTTCTGGAGCACAGCGAATGAGGATTCCCGGAGGACATGGTGTGCGTACAGAGCTCCAAGGGCCACGCAATTAAGATGATGGGCGGACTGCACTCCCACCATTGCCTCCCAGACAGTTGGGCAACCACTGAGCCTGGGCTGTCTGAATCACTTTTAGCCTCTCCCCAGTCCCATCCCTTTCTTCTTTTATGTCTGTGTGCACTTAAAACTCTAATATTCCTATTACTGCCAGCTGCACTTAAACCAAATCAAATGATTTTCTGTCTCTCTCCTGTTGAGCAGACGGAGAATCCATGGAATGGCAAAGCGCGTGGGGGTGCGACCCAACAGAACAGGCCCGTGAGGCGGCCCTGCACAGAGCTGCTCAAATACCTGACAGCCACAGATGACATCCTGCTCCACACCAAAGCCAGTGAAGCCAGGGGCCCCTGGGGGCCCGGCAGTAGCAGAGACAAGAGTGTCCTGGGTCTAGGTGCCTCCTCCTCTTCCTCCTCGCCTTCATCATCGTCCACTTCCTCGTTCTCCTCCCTTTCCTCCAGCTCCTCCACCTGTTCAGCGTCCAAGAAGAAGTCGGTGTCTCAGCAGCAGCAGCAGCAGCAGCAGCGAGGTGAGCGCCGGGCTGCAGGCGATTGTAGTGTGCCTGGTGTTGGGGCTGGGAAGTGGCAGCGGTGCCATGCTCACCATGATCAGAAGTCCCAGGGCTGTGGCCATGTCTGTCCCAAACTGGAGCACAGGGCGCCCAGTGAAGAAGGAAGGCCGCCAGGCGAGGCCGCCCGCCTGGCCGCCGCTAGCTTTATTAGGTATATGCATTCTTATTCCCTCCCTCCCAGAGAGGCGAGTCACAGCTGTGGGCATTGCCGAGGGGCTGCAGGTGCCACTCAGGCTAGTGGGGGCTTTGGCAGGCAAGGCCATAGGAACACTAGTGGTGCCCAACAAGCACCACGCAGACACATCACACTGACCATAAAGAAAAGAGAGGAGAAGCCAGGCCACCCCTTACTCAGCCAGCTGCTCACCTCCAAACACAAGCCTGCCCACTACCAGGTCCAGCTACACACACGCAGCCCTAGTCCCATACCCCCTTCCCTCAAAAAACAGTCACCCCCCAGGTCTGAGAGCCCCTTCCTGACAGAGCCACACATGGACAAGGAAGAGCAGAATGATACAAAGTCTGTTAGGAACCATGAGGCTGAGGAGCCTGGATCTGGGCCCCTACTGTCCCCTATGACCTTTGACCTAGAGACAGACTCAGGCCTAAACATGGGCTTTGGACTGGAGCTGGGGTGGCCCAGCAGGGGGCACTGTGGGGAGGAGCCTGATGAAGCTGATAATGATGATGGTGTTGTTGATTATGATGATGTCATGGGCAGCAGTGTGGCTGCAATGCTCTCACAGGGCCTGCCCAGCCCACTGTTCCCTGTCCCTCCCTGCTTCATACCAGGGCAAGGGCACCCACACAGGCAGGCACTCAGCGAGCACCCCGACGACCAGGGCCACCCATTGTTAGGTAATCATGACTGCATCCCCCCACTGGCCTTATTTCTGCTCTCTCTTCTCCCTCTCCTGCTCTAACCACTTCCCAGTTTGACTTCACGACTAACATGTATTCTAATTTGAATCTAACAGTCATTCGGAGGGCACCCACAACAAACAGCCTGCTAGCCAATGCTTTTTGCTAGTCCCAGAGGCAGTCTTTTAAATTAAAATTAGCAAAAAGGAGGGGGTGGGAAATGGGGCGAGCCTTGTTTTGCTACTGTATGTCTTGTATTCATAAAGTTGACCCTTGAACCCTGTTTGGCTGATTGAGCAGAGTGTGCTGATATGGACTTTAGTCTGGGAGCCCGGGCTGCACTTTAGAGCCATGTCCCTTTTGCTGGAGCACAAGGCGGCCAGAGCCTCGGGCAACTGCACAAGCTTCTCTGACTCTCCTTTCTTCCTGTTTCCCCCTCCTCTGCGTTTGGTGCATGCCATTTATGACTTTACTGTCCAGAGAGGGGCTCACCCACTGTCATTGTCTTGTCTGTGGCATTGTCGCTGTCTGTTCTTAACTCCATCTTCCGTCTTGCTTGTTGTTGCTTTTTTCATTTAAGCTGGGTGTGTGTGTTAGGCCCCGTGATACATGTCTCATCACATCATCCTGCCTCACCGAGTGGACAGTCTAAAAACCTACTGTTTAAGAATGGGGTCAATCTTAAAGTTTTGTAGCAAATAGTCTCGGTAGACGTTTTTCTAACATGGGTTGGGTGTTTTGTAGTGATAATTGCTTTATTAATGAGCCAATTTGAAATTAATTGTTGCAGAATGTGAGTGTTATGACTAGATCAATAATTATCAATGCTCCTTTGTGTTCTGCAGCCAAACCAACCACCTTGCCACTTCCTTTGACCCCAGAGTCTCCAAAGTAAGTGCGAGAAGTTTTTCCACATTATTTCAGGAAAAAAAAAAAAAAAAAAACAAAGGAAAAAGTAGAATCCAAGACTAGATTCCAAGTTGAGGCATTTTTGTGACACTCATTTCCATTACTTATCTCACAAAAGCATAACACTTTTCATTCTGCGTTATTGGAAAGTTATACATTTCATATTTTTGTCTTGCAGTGACCACAAGGGATCACCATTTGAGAACAAAACCATTGAACGCACATTAAGCGTGGAGATCGCTGGAACTCCAGGTAAGCATATACTCTACAAGAAGAAAGTAATTAACTCAGCATATAAAATTTTCACATGAGTCATTGCGTTTTGCCACTCCTGGCTTTTAAATGGGTTAATCCTGCTTTCATCAGAGTTCAAAGTTCAAGGTGAAGGGAGAGTTTTATGTGCCACAGTATTGATTAGAGTAGCCAATCTCCATGCGGGTTTATTAGCAAGCCCCTCCCACTCACCCACCTCTGCCCCCTTTGAGTTAATATGCCGCTCCCCTATCAGATCTAATGCGCTCTGACTGTCGGCTTGCTTAGTCCATGCATCAGTAGAAATTGAATTGGCAGTGTTATTGTTTTAATTGGTTTTACTGCATAATTCAGTTTTCCCTATCTTGGCCATGTCCCTATAGACGTACATGCAATTTGATCAACTGACATGGGACTTCAGTGTAAGTACAATGTAAGCATGCTGCTCTGTCAATATAATATATAGATTTAATTAAAGTGATAATATTAGTAATCATAATCATTTCAACCCTATTAGTATTTATTGGCTTGATCATAGTTTGTAATGAATCCAAATAGATGAGCTAACAAATCAGCTGGTTGCGGGAAGGGAGGGCATCTGACATCAAACTGAAACACTATACTACTGTCATCGCCATCACTGCTACTATCACCACTACCACTACTTAAAGGTGCACTATGTAACTTTGCCTGTCTCCACAGAAACAGTATTGCCAGGAATGTTCGACACTATGGCATTAAACTAGTCAGGTTGGCATCCCTCTGCTAAATTAAATTTTTCTCCAGCGACTAGGTCAGGAATCAGAATACACTAGACGGTTCGTAAAACTCCAGAAGTGCGAGTTCGGGCACCAGCCAATCAGCGAAGAGCCATAGATTCTGTGTTGGCAACGATTCCCGAGACTGAGGATTTAAAGCCGGAACAAAGAGAATGTTTGGTGAATTTTATCAAGGGGAAAGACGTTATTGCCCGTCTTCCTACGAGATTTGGGAAAAGCTTAATATACTAGTCAGCCCCGTTAACGGCTCATTACATATGTCACAACCAAATAGTAGCGACTGGTTAAATGAAAAAAGTACCCGCCGACCGTCAAGCGAACATATTCTCATGCTGCGAGGTCAGACGGTTTCTACGAAGTGAAACCGTCTGATGAATCTGGCTAGCATTAAACTATATATCTTGGATTGATTCCGTTAAAATACATGCATTCTCACTGCTGGCGCCACCTGCTTGTCTCCATGGAGATACATAAGTGCAGTGCCATAGTGTTGAACATTTCAGGCAAAGGGAAATGTTACATACTGTAGCTTTAATGCTGCATATATATACTAACATATAAATTCTAGTCTTAGCAGTATATTTTCTTTCCAAGCTAAATGTTGGGGGCTGTTTGTCTACCCCAGTTCTATTTTGCTGTGTGCACCAAACCCCAGGAGAAGTCTTAAATTAAACCTCTGACCTTGGTCAAAGTGCTGTTTAACCCTTATGTATAGATAAGCTTCTAAGGGCAAAGGTCATGATTGGTGAGACCTAAAAGAAACAGTCTAAAAAGCTCTAGGGCAATCGGGCAGTTAATATTCGTTCCCATTAACTGTGCATGGTTGAGTTTAACTAACCTGCGGCCAGACCTCAGAAACAGCCGGACATTCGTTGGAGAATTTGTATTGAATATTAAGCGTTTTAGTGTGTATAAATCCCAGTAAGTGAAGGTGAAAGATCGTGAGTTAGAGGTCCTACGAGGATTAAAAGTAACGTTTAACGACAATGGCGATTATTGTGCAGTGACTTATAACCAGATGGAGGTTAGGCCAGCGCACTGTTCCACAATTCACCTTCAAACTACTTGAAACTTTCCATGGAGCACTGCCAGTTCACTATTACTTTATACCTTTATGAGGTGGTGTAGTAATAGTGGCTTCATTGAAAGATAACATCTGTAGATATGGGCCTGTCTTGTTGCCAGGCGTATTAAAACAACACTATGTGATTTTTGCTCTTTTTATTGGCCTGATAACAAAAGCTTGTGCATGCCATAGAGTTTGTTTAACTTTTGCGGTGGAGGTTCCATCACCTGCCTCTCTCCACAGAGGTGTTATAATTTCACCTGGAAGGTTCCACAGCACGGCATTCTCTATCCAGCGTTTACTCAAATACACATGGGTTTTCTTGCTTAAAAGTACCTTATAAAAGACACATTTTTACAGTTAAGGGGTTTGCCTCTCCACAGATCTGACCAGCAACTTGGTTTTGTGGCATCATTTGCTTATCTTTGTGGAGTCAGTGAACGTTCATTTCAATGTGTGGAATATTCTAGGCAAATAAATAAGAAGTAGGTGGTAGAACCTCCACCTGAACAGTTACACTTACACCTTTAACAGATTAACTTCTTTTTTTTTTCTTTTTTTACATTTTTTTTTTTACCATATTGTCTCTGAGTTGGACATTTCACCATTATAATAGTCAGTCAGCTCTAAATGAATTTGTCCAACATGTTCATGGTCCACAGTTTCTTTTTAACAAAATCATACCACTATTTTGAACTGTGGGATGTGCATTTCTTTGACCAAACCAAAAGAACAAAAAGCAACAACAGGCAGTGAATCCCCTGGGACTTCAGTGTTCAGGCCTAATCTCTGCCTAGCTAATAGATTTGCCCCGCTCTACTGTGTTGTCTTTAATTACTGTATCTCATGACACTGGGGTGGTCCGTGTGTGTTGCTATTTGCATGGCTTACCGCCGGATCAACTCTTTAAGCCCGGAGTTGTTATTCGCTCCGAGGTCTGCACTCTCAATTTCCAGCTGGACGGGGGAAATGATTTGGATACACTCGCTTCCTTTCTCTCCTCTCTCCTTCTTTGGCGTTCGCCCGCTGACAGCTCCATGATTGGTGTCGGCATCTGTGGACCATCCATCATGAGCGAGTTTGACTGAGAGGCACATATTTATCTAATTCTGATTTATTTCACCCCCGTCACTAATGGCTGCTACTTTATGACCCCACGCGTACATTGTTTTGGACAGATGGTGCTTCATTGCGCTGCAGACCCCTCCCTTTTCTGACTGGCTTTCCGTTTCATTGGAATCAAGCGAATCTATATCCTTATGTCTGCCATTATAATAGCCATTATTTACAAAGACTAAGGCAGCCCAACAGTCTATTTTATTTGATTTTATTTTATTTGAAATTCGAAGTGAAACTGGATTTTGTCTAGTTGTCACCCTTATTAGTGTGATCACCTGATGTAGTATTGTTTAAGTTTACAGTGCAATGAGAAGACCTCCCATTGACTTTTTTTTTTCTATTGCCAGTTACGTTTTTTACACTGCAAAGAAGGCAAACTAGAAGAACTTCTTGAATTGAAACTTCCATATCCAAAACCATATTACAGTGCCGTGGTCCCTCTTAACAAAATTGAGCAAGTTCCAAAGGAAAATATGCTTTAAGTTATCCAATGTTACACCAAAATAATAATAATAATGTAAGGGAAAATATTCTATGGTGTTTACACATCGGCAAATCCCCATTGCCACAGACTGTATATTAGAAACTGTCTTTTGCATAGAAACATATAGACATTCCCGGTAATAACTAGGACTATGATAAGCCCCTAGATCTGCCATTCCAAACACAGCAAGTCAGAATATTTATGTACCCGCCTCACTCAGTCAGTCTTTTTGCCAAGCTGTCTTCCCGGCACTAACACTGGATTTAATACTAATAGCTGTCATTTGGTGCAATTCGCCTGCAAAGGAGGGAAGAGCGGTGCATTATAAGAAGGAACAGAGGAGAGCGTAGGTGTTTCAAAGTGGCTGACTCGAGACTGTGAGTGCACTGGTACGGCTGTGTGGGCATGTTTGTGAGACAGACGAGAGACAAAACGCCAAAGAAGGAAGACAGGTAGAGAGACAGGAGGGAGAAGAGAGAAGGAATGTACAAGACCCCTGCCTCGAATGAGAGTAATGGCGATGGTGCGTTTGTGTGAGTGCATTAACAGTGCTATAAAGTAGGCTCATCTCAGGATTTCCTATATAAATGCCATCTGTCTGGTTATAAATCTGTAGGAGGAGGGGTTGGGGCAGAGGGGAGGGGGTGATTGGGTAGGACGTACTGTCTCAGAAGAATGATGGTCCATTTGCCAAACTTGCACAATTAAGACATTTCTCCGTGGCAACACTCAAATCAAGAATGTATTTTGTATTTCCTATTCTCCATTCTTATACAAGGGGCAAGTAGATGGACATGTCATTTAAACCCTGATATTGAACGTGCTGAAAACAGCAGGCACTCCTCACCTCTTTTGAATGATAAAAGCCATAGTGTTTTATTCTGATGACTTGGCAGGTGTCCATTGTGGGGCGGATACTGTATCGCACGTGCCCATGCATTAGGTTTGTCCTCTGCTTGGTTTTATGTTGTGTTTTTTAAAAAGGGGATCTTTCCAAGGTCAGAAAGGAACCGGATGGCAAGTCACCCATATAACAACACCACCATATTAAGTTACACCAAGCATTACATTAATCTGTCAAGATTGCAATAAAATTGAGCTCAGGATTAGGCCTGGTGAAAGTGAATATTTTAATCAGACATGTCTCTATGGCCAGTGCCCATAAAGCACGCTGCATTTATAGACGAGGGGAGGAGTTGAGGGCTATTTGGGTAGATTTGGATTATGACTCCATTTAAATTAATGGTTCTTCACAAACCTTTGTGTCTTTCTCTTTCTCTTCAGGTCTGACACCACCTACTACGCCCCCACACAAAGTCAGTCAAGAGAATCCTTTCAAAGCATCTCTCAAAACCAAGTTGTCTTCATGTTCCTCCTCAGCCTTGGCGTGCAAAAGAGCCAAGCAGAGCGAGGCGGGCCCCGGCGCTTTGGCCCCGGCCCCAGGTGCCTCAGGCGGGGGCCCCACTAGAAAGGGTCCCGAACAGACTGAGCTGTATGCCCAGCTGAGCAAAGCGGCCAGCGCTCTCCCTTTCTCCCTGCACTCAGCAGGGGGCGCTGCCGAGGACCAACGTAGCACTAGCAACAAGCGGTCTCGTGGACACAGTGACCACGACTACTGCCAGGCAACAGCAAATGCCAAGAAGGACGGCAGCACGGCCACCGCTCCAAGCACTACAGCAGAGGTCACACCTCCAGACGACAGGCATGTGGAATGTAAGGACTTAACTATGCCCCCATCTTCATTGCCATTCTCATCTTCCCCAATGTCGGCTTCATCCATGTCTTTGGCTGAGCAGCACAAAAAGGAGGCAGCCCAAATGAAGGAGACAGAAAACCCTTCACAAGAGGTCCCGTGTGACCAATCCTCTTCCAACAACCGGAAACCCATGCGCGACCAGGAAATCCGAGCAGAGCTCAACAAGCACTTTGGTATCCCAACACAAGCGCTCTACAGCCCGGAGAGAGAAGTGAAGTCTGCAGCTCCTCCATCTCCAGAGGAGGCCTCTGACAGTTCCCCACGGCTGCCCGGATCCAGCTACCTGCACCCAGGCTTCCTGCCCTTCCATGATGACCTGGATGTGGGGCGGGAGAACCGTTTCCTGTACCCCTGGGAGGGCACTCCTCTGGACCTCCTGTTCGATTGCTCCCCCTGCTCTCCCTCCTCCTCGTCCCCTCCATCCAGCTGCTCCCCCTCACGAGGCTCTGTATCCCCGCCCTCCTCCCTGCTCCTGTCTCCCAGCAGGCCTTTCTGCTGGACCAGCAGCGGGTCACGCTCCAGGTCCCGATCCCACTCCGGCTCCCGCAGCTCCTCCTCACACCACCGGAGGCGCTCTCTCTCCAGCTCACCCGACAGACGCCCCTCCTCTTGGTAGGTCCCACACAGCCTCATCCTTTACCCTTCACTGCAGGTGCTCAGAGTGGAAACAGCAGTATCAGAGCTGCTGGACAAAGCCTGGAGACACATGGCATGGTGCTTGACCTTCTGCCAGTCTACACGCACATACCTGTACAAAGTCATTTGGCTCTGAGTTCACTCATTAATCTGCATATAAAAAAAACAAAGATATCGCAGTATTAAATCTCCTTTGCCCCTAACATAATAACTGTTAGTCTAACCGATGCCCAGCCTGTTTTTTTAACATTTCTGTCTAATAAAAAATGGACTCTCACTAAACAAACAGTACTTTAAAGATGCCAGGGGCTGTACTTCAGAAGAGCCTCTCTCCCGTAGAGGACTTGAAGTGGAGTGTGTCCCTAACATCCACTTTTTGTTTAAATCTTTCTCTCACTCGCTGCCTTTGCGTTTGATGCCGGGCTATTGTTTTAAGCGGCAGCTGTTGTTTTTTACCGAGTGGCGAACCCTCCTCTTTTACATCCCCAGAGATGAAAGAGAGATCCAGGCTGTGGGAATGTAGTCTGAAAAACCCCACTCAAAAGAGACCGCTATCATCAGAGTACTGTGTGAGAAACTACATTTCCCATGGTTCCCTTTGATCAGAGCTGCGGGGTTCTGTTGTTTTTAGTGTCTGAAGAGGAGAAGTGGGTAATATTAGTTTGCCGGTTATCGGTTTGGTGAGTGTCTGCCAGTGTACGATTCTCTTGTGTTGACTTATGAATTGTTTATGTTTGTGTGATTACTTTAAGTTCAGCCTACTACACAAAACCAAGAGCTCATTTTCTGTGGGCTTGTTCTGAGCAACCTGCTAACAATGATAGGTCTACTACAACCCCAAATAATTCCTAACTGATTAAAATAATTTAGCTCAATCGTTAAATTAAAATGTGCATATTCGGGATGGGCTGACCTGGATTTTTTTTTAGGCCACTAACCAATATGACCACAAGTGAGAGTAAGAACGAAGACTGACCGATAAATCGAAAGCTTCGCCTTTCGACTCAGCTCCCTCTTCACCACAACGGTGGTCATGAGCTCTGGATAGTGACCGAAAGGATGAGATCGCAGATACAAGCGCTCAAAATGAGTTTCCTCCGCAGGGTGGCTGGGCGCTCCCTTAGAGATAGGGTGAGGAGCTCAGTCACACGGGACTAGCTCTGAGTAGAGCTGCTGCTCCTCCACGTCAAGAGGAGCCAGTTGAAGTGGCTCGGGCATCTGTTCTGGATGCCTCCTGGGCACCTCCCTCGGGAGGTGTTCTGGGCATGTCCCACTGGGAGGAGGCCCCGGGGAAGACCCAGGATACGCTGGAGGGACTATGTCTCTCTGCTGGCCTGGGAACACCTCGGGGTCCCCCCGGAGGAGCTGGAGGACGTGTCTGGGGTGAAGGAAGTCTGGGAGTCCCTGCTTAGGCTGCTGCCCCCGCGACCCGGCCCCGGATAAGCGGACGAAAATGGATGGATGGAATAACCAATATTCTTAATAAATAAACTTTTCTCGTCTGTAAAAATAGTAACAATCTGAGATATAAACAGTTCTATTTTCATTTTGGCTCATTGGTGTTTAAAAAGTGCACACAGAGAATGGGGTAGTGCTAAAAAGTCAGTGGAGAATATCAGTATCGAGGACAGATGACGAGTGATACCAATATTTGCAATATCAAGTGATACTGAAGCTGGAACCAATATTTCGCCCATCTCGAGTTTATGTAGTAAATTTAGTCCTCAAACTGTAGGGATGGTGGTTTCTTCGCCTCCATTTCGTTCGAGACATTTAATCTTCAGTGCTGAATCTTACAGAATATTACTGTTCATAGAAATATTTGTTTGTTTGAGTGAAAAAATAATGCAGTTTGTTTATAAGGTCAGCCGACTTCACTCAGGCAGGAGAAAACCTTTTTAGATGCACTCTTGTTCTACATCTTGCTCACAAATTATACAGTAAATCAATTCTATCACTGACAAGCCTTCAGACGGGGGTACTTAGGGATTGGAGTTAAAAAATGACACTACAAAAAGGTTGTTATATTCATTCACTGGTACAGATAAATAGATTTTTAACACAAATAATTCTCAAAATCCCAGTTCTGTGATGAATGTTTTACAGTGTAAGATCCTCAATCTATCCAAACTGCCATCCCCACGCCTCAGAGCGTTCCCCCAAACTTCTCTCCTTCCATTATTCAAGGCTTCCTTCTTCAGCACTTCAATAATTGAGCAAAGGAAGTGTAAGGAGTACAGAGTTAGCCTCGCTAGTCGGCCCACTAACATCCACAGTATTGACCAGGTCTCATGCAACTTACATAGTACAGGTACATAGGTGCTCATGGCTCAAGTGTATAAAAAGTTCTGTGTGATATCAAGGCCACTTTCTGTGTAAGGGGAGTTGAAAGAAACTACACTTAAAGATGCGGTATGTAACTTTACTGGAGGTTCTGACACTCTATCTACTATCCATGTGTCTATCTGAACATAATAGTGTCTCTTATTGTAGAAGTAGAGATAGAAATAGCAGAACTTATTGTAATAAATAGTGCCAATAATGACAAATAAGTAGTAGTAGTAAAGATGTAGAGTATTATTAGAGTAGTATTGTACTTACTTGTGATTTTGATGTAGGTAAAATGTTTTAAAATGTAGATTCTTTTTTGTATTCTTCAGGGCTCGTCAGAACACAGAATCCAGCACTTTCCGTTCCAGGACTCACAAAAGCCCTCGGTCCCGCTCTCCTCTCAGCCGCAGGCAAAGGTAGGACTTTTTATGAGATATTTTTGTTTTCAGTTATTAACCTTTGCTGAGCTAGGCTATATTACACAGATGAGGGCACAGCTTTCTAACATTAACGCTCTGCTCAAATGACCCCATGCTTCCAGGAGAGGGTAGCCAAATGTAGACTAATTAAATACAAAACACTGCTTCTTGCTGATTAAATTTTGCTGAAAGTAGGTGTCCCTCTTTCTATTATTGTGTTGTTATTTGTAGAGATATATCATGGAAGAATGACCCAACAGTATGAAGAACAGCTGTGTCTTTTCATTCATGGGTTTCTGCTTCTTGTTTTATGCAACTTTTTCTCATTCCAAAGAAGTAGTATCACAATTTACACTTTACACTTTTTTTGGATCTTGTTATAATGTTGTTTCCTCATCAAATCACACCTGGAGTTGTGTTTTGTTTCATTCACACATGTTTAACACACAAAAAAACTGTGTATTTAGGTTAAGTTCTTATCTCTGTTTTTGATGTCATGTGGTACACAGGAAGTACTCCACTATGTTTTTAAACTCGTAAACACCAAATCATTTGGATGATTTTAGCCATGGAATTGTAGCCAGGCCGGCGCTACCTAGTGTCTCCACTCAATTTAATGTCTCTCCAGCGACTAGGTCAGGAATCAGAATACACTAAACGGTTCGCAAAAACCCCAGAAGTGTGAGTTCGGGCACCAGCCAATCAGTGAAGAGCCATACATTCTGTGTTGGCAACGATTCCCGAGATCGAGGATTTAAAGCCGTAATAAAGAAAATGTTTGGTGAATTTTATCAAGAGGAAAGACGTTATTACTCTTCTTCCTACAGGATTTGAGAAAAGCTTTAATTTACTAGTTAGACCCTTTAGCAGTGCATTGGTCAAATGAACAAATTCTAACATTGCGAGGACAGACGGTTTCTACGAAGTGAAATCAGCTGATGAATCAGGCTTATGGAATTACTAATATGCCTTGAAAACTACCACTACTTGACATCACAAAGTGGTACAGAGCATTTTGAGCTTTGGAGATGTAGACAAACTAATAAAATTGTTATGTGTGAGCTACTGGGTCCAAATCATTTCCCGTGTGGAGCAATAAAGTTTGTCTAAGTCTAAAAGATAACTCAAACATGTGTGAATGAAACAAAACTCAACTCTATTCTCTTAGCTTGTCTAGTCTCAGTGCCTCTCTCCAGACTCTAGTGATTGCATATGCAGAGTCTGGGCACGGGAACATAGTGACACTTCTCTGAGCTGATTTAGCATCCACATGCCTAATGACACCCGACAAGCCCAGAGACGCTCATCAGTCCAAACTTAACGGACAAGTCTAGTGCCAGTCCGGGGGGTGGGAGGGGAGAGAGAGGGAGGGGAGAGGGTTAGTGAAGTTGTACTTTTTCCTTGTCTTGATGAAGCCCTAACTAAGCAGAAAGTAATGACATGTGAAGTTGTGCTGACAGCTGCAGCCCGGACTCCCGACCGCGCTGCTCGCCGGCTCTCCCGTGGGCCCCTCCTGTGGGCGACGTAATCACCGCCACAGCCATTGCGCTTATTGTACACTTCTTATCATAATGAAAACACGTATTCTTCATATGTAATCATGTCCAGCCCTTAGCGACCAATATAACATCTAGAGAGTAATTAAGTAAAAGTTATCCTATACTTCACTGATACTTTATTTTATTTCTAATACCTTATTTTATGCATGCCTTCTTTCTGATATTGCTTCATAGTCCATATGTTTTACTATTAGTACTCATTGTTTTATGTTGCACTATATTACAGACACACATTCCAGTTTGTGAATGTAGTTCACTGACAATGACAATAAACCCTTTTCTGAAGTACTTTCTCTTACTACCAGGGCTACCTACTTTGTTACCAAGGTTAAAATTTAACATCTTACTACACTTTTCACTTTATTTCTGGCATAAAGCGTCTCCCATGTCCTTATTTCAATGAAGTCACAATGAGAGTGACTGTATTATTGCTTTATTGTGGCCAAAAAAAACCTACTGTGGTATTTCTTTCAGGTACGACAGTTATGAGGAGTATCAACACGAGCGCCTGATGAGGGAGGAACATCTCCAGGATTATGAGAAGCGAGAGTTTGAGCGAGCTGAGCAGAAAGACCGGCAGAAGCAAAAAGCTATCGTAAGTCAAACTATACCAGTCTGTTGTTTTAAATGTTTTTCTGGCCAATCCGTACAGCGACAGACCTTCGTTGTTTATGTATGTTTATTGCTTTACCCATGACAAAAAGAACTTAGGGTCAGGGAGGGGCTCTGGTAAAAACATGTTAAATCAAATATGCAAATTGCAAAAAGCCAAAGGTATGTAGTGATAGTAGAAGATATATTCCAAGATATTTCATTTTTGCGTGAACATGCTTGTTAATGTACAAATTCCTGCATGCTATGTGGATTTGCTGTGACAACCCTAAGATGGAAAAGCCAAAAGGAAAACTGAAATGTCAGCTCAGGACACAAGGAAAAAACAAATTTGAACTCATAATATTTCCTGTATGCAGCCTGCAAATTTGGCATTTCCTCTATACCTCCCCTCTCTTTGTCTCAGTATGACATTAGTCAGGTTTCCAGCGGCGACCACCCGTTGATAAAGCGCACCGTAAATGACGCAGTAATGCAAACTCGGCTTGGCAGGCATACACTTTTCGACATAGAGGCACAAACAATTACAAGGTGTGTGGAGCTCGAGCTGTCAGAGCGGGTTTGAGAGTCCGGCCGTGTGAAAGATGCTTGTTCCAACTGTCTGTTTGCATATCTCTGTGTGTTTTTCGCCCATTCTCCCGCTCACCCACACACACACAAGTAGCCCTCAGGGTGCCGTCAAGAAAGGACCGCCTATTTATCAGCTGTCAGCAAGTAAACCACTAATTCAGCAAGCATTTTTGTACCAAAGTGAATGTATAAGCATTAAAGGCAGTGGAAAAGTACAAAGACCTGAGGTGAAAGAACTAATATCTACAAAAGTAAAAGTATTACTATGCATCAAAATGTTACTACGTAGTGGTAAAAGTACTCAAATATGTTCAGTAAAGCTATTGTTCATAATGATGAGTACAGTTTTGTCAACTGAACATCAAACCACTTCATGTGACCGAGTCTGTTGCTATTAGAAAGAAACAAGACATTTGTAAGCAAAAATACAGATTCTTCTTATAAATAATTTTAAGAATTTAATTAAAACGGTCAGTCAGCAGTTTGTAGTCTTTTCTAACTAATATAAGATTTCTTTCTTCGTATCAGCTCCTTTCTAAATATGGAAATGCCTTCTGTCATGTACATGTACCAGAGGTGGGACCGAGTCACTGTTTTTCAAGTCTCAAATAAGTCTCAATTTTTTTACCTCAAGTCCGAGTCAAGTCCCAAGTCAAATACAGGCAAGTCCAAGTCAAATCTCGAGTCACTGGCCCATAAGTCCAAGTCAAGTCCAAGTCATCTGCTTTGATCTTCAAGTCATCAAGTCTTTAAACCAAAAAAGTACCAAATATAGCTTAGATTTTTGTAGTTTAACTTTTAAACTAAATTGTACTTAAAAAGTCATGGTATATTTATAATTGAGTATTTTTTAAATGTCTTGACAAGAGAGCAAATTATTACAGTCAGAATATAAAGAATTCAGATTTGAGAATGCTTAATAACAGTTATTTTGTCATGTAGTCTGCACTGAAATGGAAGAATCATGTTTAAGAGTCAAGTCTTACTCTGTCCAAGTCTGACTTGAGTCCATGTCACCACTTGCAAGTCCCCACCTCTGACGTGTACAATTACATTATGTATTTCTATTCATTGATTCATTGTAATGAAAAATGAAAAGTTATTCTATCACATTTTAACAAAAATTTGTTTTAGTTAGGCATTCACCAATTTATTCAAACATGACCAAAATATCTGTCCACACTTTAAGGGGCCATTGGGAACTTGGTCAAGTTGAACTGAAAGTAAACATTTGCGTTTAATAAGCAACAATTTTCTTGAGAACTTTTATGTTAATTGAGAATTAGGTATATTTATTAGGCCTACAGATTTTAATTACTTCTCGCAACTCTTCCAATCAAACGCACTGCTTAACTCTCTGCTCCACGGCTGAGTCACCCTTCTGTTTTATTTTTAGCCTCCATGAAAAACAGTTTTAAACTCGACACGGCATCATTTGATAAAAATCGCTGCGTGCCGCCACCGGTTGATGACTTGGCGGAGAGAAAGAGGAATTGTAGCGTCAAGAGAGATTGAAAGCACCTCCAAACTGCAACGCTATCAGATCAAAAGCAAAGGAAAAAAAAAACAAGTAGAAGCAATCAGAGAGGAACAAAACAAAGTGAAAGGAGCAAGGTGGTGGAGGTCTGAGGAGTGGAGGCTTCGGGGTTATCACAGCCAATTCATTAGTGCCATGTAAAAACGACAGGCAAACTCCAGCTCATCCTTCTAATCTGGTGTTTTTCTTGTTGTTAACGAATAGGACGAGAGGCGGGCGGTGTACGTGGGCCGGTTGAGCTCTGACTGCACCAGGACCGAGCTAAAACGCCGCTTTGAAGTCTTCGGTGAAATTGAAGAATGCGCGGTGAACCTGAGGGATGATGGGTAAGACCATGAGACCAGGTGTATGTATGTGTGTGTGAGAGAGCGGGAGAGACAAAGTGGACAGAAATATTTAGTAGAACATTCCTACCCTCTGGATAGGCCCAAGTCTGCAGCTCAAATATGTGTTATTGCTCTTGAACATGCAGAGGAAACGTTTTAGCGGGTTGGTTGAAAATGGTCATTGAGACGGTGTAGCTTTTTGGTTAACATTTATGTCTTATTTGTGGCAGTGTAGAGGCAGGCATTACTGGAATACATGAGGTGAAATTGCCTTGTGCATAGATGTGAGGGTGTACGCCTTTCTCTACCAATTTTTTTTTGTCTTAAGCTGATGCATTAGCCAGGCTGGCGCCACCTAGTGCCTCCTCTCAATTTCATTTCTCTCCAGCGACTAGGTCAGGAATCAGAATACACTAGACGGTTTGCAAAAACTCCACAAGTGCGAGTTTGGGCACCAGCCAATCAGCGAAGAGCCATACATTCTGTGTTGGCAACGATTCCCAAGATCAAGGATTTAAAGCCGGAACAAAGAGAATGTTTGGTGAATTTTATCAAAGGGAAAGATGTTATTGCCCTTCTTCCTGTGGGATTTGGGAAAAGCTTAATATACCAGTTAGCCCCATTAACGTCACATTACATACGTCGTGACCAAATGGCAGTGATTGGTTAAATTTTAAAAAAGTACCAGCTTTCTATCAAGCAAACAAATCCTAATGGTGTGAGGTCAGACACTTTCTACAAAGTGAAACCGGTTGATGAATCAGGCTACTGATGCATCACTGTGATGTTTAATTAATACACAAGCAGTAGTAGTTAAAGATATTAAACTTACCGTAAAGTGTTGGACCTGAAGCAAATAAGCAATATAATGAAGAGTACAATTGGTGATGTGCCCAGATTACTTAGCCTTCAGCTTACAGGCTAAATTGATACGCTAATTGCTATAAGTAATAGCGTATGTTTGTATATTGTATTTGTGTTTCCCCACAGGGCTCTAATGCACTTAATTGAGTCTCATTAGCAAAGAACATTTGGAGTATTTGGTTTAAATTTAGGTCCAAAAAGTTTGTTTATTTGCTTCTGGGATAACTCTTCTGTACTGTTAACACACTTTTAAGGGTGGATATACTTTCTTGTTGGCATTTACGAGACCATTTGATGCAATTTTTACATCAAAACTATAGCACTAAAAGCCCCTTTAATGTTGACAAAACTGCCTTAGTAACCTTCTCTTCTCCACACCCCAAAGATACACTTTTATTGATTCTCCTTTGCATAAATAGCTAAAGTCAACGCCTCCCTCCTGTGCGCTTATTGTAGCCCCCACAGCAGCATCTCTGTGACGTACGGCTTTTGTCTATTTTTGACCAGGGACAATTTTGGCTTCATCACGTACCGCTACACTTGTGATGCCTTCGCTGCCCTGGAGAAGGGACACACCCTACGCCGGTCACACGAGCCCCAGTTCGAGCTGTGCTTTGGCGGACAGAAGCAGTTCGGCAAATCACATTACACCGACTTGGGTAAGTGCTGTAGTGTTGTGTAATGTCGTGTAGTGTTGTGTAGTATTGTGTAGTCCTCCTCCCATCAGCCCCCCTGCAGCTGTGCTTTATATTTGTGCGCCTTCAAGGAGTCAGCACAATAATGCAGAAGGGAAAGACTGCAAAATTTAAGGAAACAGAGGAGGTATTGCATTTTTATGTCATCATCTTAAAGCCCAACTGTGTAACTTTTTAGCTAAAGAATAAAAACCAAAAAAACAAACCAACCCCAAAAGCATTTCTTTTTCTCATGTTTTTATTGCATTGAAAACCATAGAAAAACATGCATCCTTGCTGTGAGTGAGCTTGCATATCCACAAACCTGACTCAAACATATGGCATAAAACATCTTCACTTGGGAGCATGTCCCAAAGTATGTATGAACCAAAATCTTACATAGTGCTGCTTTAAAATTGTTAACTTATCTGGCAATTGAATGTGTGGTGAGGTTTAAGCCATTTGGGAAAAGTTATAATGTTCTACCTCAAATAAGCATGAAAAAAATACGTACTGTTTCATTCACTCATTGTTTAAGTCAAAACACCTTTATTATTAGTCAAGTAAGACACCCTTTTAGTTAAGTAAATATTGACAATTCCAGGGCTTAAATCATTCAAATGATTCAAGTAGTATGCAGGAGTACGCAGTTAAACATGTGTGACTGAAACAAAACACATCTCCAGATATGTTTTTGATGAGGAAACAAGTTTATGATAGATTGGAAAATAGCTCACTATGGGCTCTTTAAGTGAAAGGGTATATCCACCAAGCATTAGGGCATTTAAGGACACTGGGGTCGATCAAGGACCATGGCTATAAAGGGACCCTCTTCCCCCATTGAGTATGTGAGTTGCCTCTCTAGAAAAAACAACATTACTTACACACACACACAAACCCCCACAAACCCACATTACTACTTTGTTGTTCTGAGAAGCATTCATGGAGTTAGATCCTTAAAAGCGTGTTTGCAGCTCCTCTCCCCCTTTTCCCTTTGAATTTGTGATGCGTTTTCATGTTGGCTGTATATATATCCCGAACGCGTGGGTGTCGGGAGATCACAAGCGCATTAAGAACTGAGGAGGGGTTGAGGAGGTGAATTTTTTACAAGGACAAAAGGATGATGAAGAAGAGGGGAGAGAAAGGTGGGAACAAGGTTAGGTCCCAATAAAAAAACAGCACTCCCCCTCCCTGCCTACCCCCGTACGCCCCGTCCCGAGTGAGGATCCATCTGGCGCCAGCTGTTGTGGGGTTTGAACAAGGTGCAGTCTGACAGTGGCGTGAAAAGACCAGTGGAGGTGTAATGTAATGAAGAAGTTAATTAGTTAAGGATGGGATACAGGGAATTTGGAGTAAAAACATAAATTGCTTTGTTTAGATTGATTGAGATCTTTATTTTGGATGCATTTTTTGTATAAATAAAAATGGAAATTAAAACAAGAAAAAAATATTCAAGAGGAGTAGGTGAAAGTCAGATTTGTATAGATCTTACCTGCTTTTTCAAATGTGATATACTTAATTGAAATCAGTACAATTGTGCATGAAAAAAAAAAAACAATAATTTAGCCAATTTCGCTTTCAGAATTAATGATTGACTTTATCTTCAAATGATTGTTATTTCCTAATTGAATGCTACACTATTTAATCTAAGGTGGAATCATTTCAAGTTTGGCCAAGGGTTTATGCCAAATGTTGACAGATTTCATGTACAAGTTGGATTTTGACTGATGGATTTATTTTGGCCACAGGTATATTCTGACATTATTTCACAAACAGTCATATTTAACATACACAGACCGAAAAGGTGGAGGCTGAAGCTTGAGCTTATTCTGCCTTTACTCTTTATTCCTTTATCAGAGCATCATCTTGACACCAGTTTATATTCATAAATACAGCAAGAGGAAACAAACAAATCAGTAACAGTACAGCAAAGTACTACAGCACAAACAAAGTATCATAATTCATGTATCTGCCCAGAGTTAAACATTTACACTTCTTTATAAAATGGGAGAGAGTGGTGCACAATTTTAGGGTTTCTGTACAGTTGTTCCAGAGCTCCACCCCTTTAACAGGACAAAATTTCATAATATTTTATTAGTGTCACAACCAAATAGCAGCGAATGGTTAAATGAAAAAAGTACCCCCCTACCGTTGAGCGAACGAATCCTATTGCTGCAAGGTTTGACGGTTTCCACGAAGTCTGATGAATCAGGTTAGTTCCTCTGAGCTCATATTGGCTGTTTCGGATTTTGAACATATTCTGTAAGGATTGTGACAAGAGATAGTTGTTTACTCTGAACATGATTATCAAAGTGGCGACTACATTGTAAAATTTCAGAGTTTTATAAATAACACATTGGTTGATTCATTATAAGTTGATAATGTGACTTCTCTTATTGACTTTTTTGCAAGGTAAAGATTGGATTTGTATTAGTCTTATGTGTATTACCCCAAATCTCAATACAGTAGGTTATGTGGGGCATTATCAGCAAGTTGTGTATAATAAGTTTGGGACAGGAGCGTATATAGTATGCAGACTTGTGACGCCTTGCTTATGTTAAATCACTATTACTGCTACCACAACTAGTACTTCTAATAATAATACTACTTGTACTCCTTCCATTATTTTCATTGTTTACATTCTATAAGGTATACGAAACTCTGAAGAGCCACGTAATATTGTCTAATGCAACCTCGCTTGTAGGCTTACGACTCTATTTTGCAGAAACAGACAGACAGGCACACAAGCTATCAAGGTTTCCATATGGTCCACATACAGAAATACCGCCAAAAGTTGTTTTTTTATATAAATAATGCACGCTATCAATGAAATCAAGGCTTCCTCCTTTTCCCTGGCCCTAAGCCAAGTTGCAACAGAAAATAGACTTCTTTTCTCAGAAGAGAGACTGGAAAAGGCAGCAGAGATAATTATGTCCATCTATAGGTGACATGGGAGGCAGCTTATTGACATCTCCTGCGTCTGACATGTATTTCCTCCTAATATGTGAGGTCAGAGCTGTATAATGCACATTCTTATCTTTCCTAAGTGAAGCTCTTACTATACATTTTCAAAGATTTAAGCCAGCGCTCTAACCAGGTTTAGATAAGAATGCCACAGGACTTAAACAGGATTTAGAGTAAAACCAGACCAGCTCTGAGTCACTACTAAACCAAATCTTTACCAGACCTAAACCAGGGCTTTTCAAAGGGTTAAGCCAGTGCTCTAACCAGGTCTAGATAAGATTACCACCGGACTTAAACAGGATTTACAGGATAAACCAGATTTATACAAGGACTAAACCATGACTAAACCAGATTTATGCCAGAACTAAACCAGGTCTAAATCAGGTCTATACCATTACTAAACCAGATCTATACAAGGACTAACCTAGGACTAAACCAGATCTACGCCAGAACTAAATCAGGTCTAAACCAGTATTAAACCTAGGCCTATACCAGAACTAAATCAGGTCTATACCATTACTAAACCAGAGCTATACAAGGACTAAATTAGGACTAAACCAGATCTATGTCAACACTAAACCAGGTCTAAACCAGGACTAAACAAAATCTATACTAGAACAAAGCCAGGTCTAAACTAGAATTAAACCAGATCTATACCAGAACTAAATCAGGTGTAAGCGAGGACTAAACCAGGTCTAAAACCAGGACTAAACCAGGTCTAAACCTGGTCTAAACCAGGACTAAACCAAGTCTATAAACAGGTCTAAACCAGGATTAAACCAAGTCTAAACCAGGTCTAAACCAGGACTAAACAAGATCTATACCAGAACTAAACCAGGTCTAAACCAGGACTAAATCAGGTCTAAACCAGGATTAAACCAGACCTATACCAAAACTAAACCACTTGTAAACCAGAGCTAAACCAGTATTAAACCACTTTGTATCAAGTAAAATTGAACCCAAACCAAGTCAGATGTTTATCCTTGTACTAAATCTACTATAACTGTATAAATAAATGGATATATTTCCTCAAAAAATAATATCTAAATATTTTTGGAGTATCCTGATAACTTGTAAATCCGACAGTATAAAAGTGTGTAAAAAGGTGTTCAAAAGTATTAGCTGAGTTGAGTTTAAATATCATGTGCAGTGGCTATAATGTTACCATCAAAACTTTTTATTTCTTTTAATTTTATTTTAATCAGCAATAAACCAAGAAAGGAATAAACCAGACCATTTACTTTGAATACATGCACCGCAGTTTGAGAAGCACTTCCCTAAGCCACCAGCCAATTTAAGTACTGAAAAATTGGCACACAAAGAAACAGTTACTAATCTACAGCCTTGAGGAGAGACATTAAACCGGAATTGACTAATCAGTCTAGTTGAATTGAAAGACCCTTTTTGTTAGAATTGGGCTATTTTGGTCCCTCATTCTGATAGAAAGTGAATTTAATAGCGTCTACTCTTTCCTCAGCCACACTTCTCCATCTTGTCCGTTTTTTTGTTTTCGGAGACACTGTCCATTAGTTTGAAGTGAAACGCCTTGGAATTTCTCATCCCTCAAGGTGCACGGGCTGACACGGTAGAGCCGGCGGTCATTGCATTAGATCAGGAACGGACATCCCAATTCCTCAAAGCTGGGAGAGAAAGCTGCGGGGGTCTTTGGGGGTCCCATTTGTGAAGCTGTGTGTAGGCGGAGATAAGACAGGCGCTGTGTATTATCAGGTTCATCAAGAAGAATAGGCAGAATGAGAGATGGGGAGACAACATTTTACCTACAGTAATGTGCAAAAGCTTTCGAGAATGGCAGGAGACAAGAAAGGTGGAACTATGCGGTAAAAACGTACAATGAATCCGAGGAATACAAATCCAAAACATCTTATCTGACTCAAAACTCAATAGAATTCATATAGAACAATCCTTGGATCTCGTGTTTTATATTTCAGCCAATAGTTCCTTTCTAGGGATGGTCCAAGAATTGATTTTTCCATCTGATATTCAGTATTTGTGTTGCTGCTGTAGTGGATAACTGCCTACACGCTGCAAGATTTAAAAATTTTGGTTTTTGTTAAGTAACTATTCACTTTTGGCTAAATAATAACAAAATGAGGGTATGAAAATCGAATGTTGCATGATTATGAACACATACAGTCGCGTGTTTAGGTTAGTTTTTTATTTACTGGACACGTCTGATGCTCTGAGGACAAACTGGGAACAACACTTGGGAATACAGAGACTCGGACAAAAAAAAAAGAATTGGTCCTACTTTGGTCTACTTTGACTATGTTTAAATCTAGGCTCAAAATAGTTATTTGTAGGAATGTAACAATAACCGAAATATCGTGATATTGTATCCTCAAATTTCTCACAATAATATTGTGGACCATCACAATATATCGAATTACAAGTGTCTTTGCTTAAATTAAGAGTTATGGTGCAGCAATTGCTAAAAAAAAAAAAGACAAATTGAACTACAAAGACCATGATCCTTTGCTCCATTTTAGTGCAGACTACATGAAGAAATAACAGTTCTAACACTTTAAGTCTTAGTTCTTTGGATTCAGTCTTGTCGAGGCATTTTAAGAGGAAAAACAGTTAAGAGTTTTGTTAGTCTCCACAAAATATTGCAATAAATATCGTACCGTGAGATTTGGATATTGTTACATTCCCAGTTATTTGTAGCTGTGCATACGACTAAAATGACTCTTTTAAAGTTAATTTTATGAGGCTTATTTATGTTTTGATTTGTTTGCATTGTGAGTTTCTTATTCAGTTCAATTATTTGGTATACAAATTGTGCTAAACAAATAAACTTGCCTTGTCTCGCTCAACCAAATACCCATATCTGAGAAACAGCGAGATACTCCCTGCCGTGTACCGTCTATTCCTTGCTCCTCTCAGAAGTATTTACTCCACTGACCTGTTTGTTTTTGTTGCCTTTTTTGTTGTAGACTCTCATTCAGACGACTTTGATCCAGCCTCCACCAAAAGCAAGTACGACTCCCTGGACTTCGACAGCTTGCTCCGAGAGGCCCAGCGCAGCCTGAGAAGGTAACCAACCGGTCGTCAGGGGCAACCGCCGTCCGTTGTCACACGACGCGAGAGGGACTTCCGATACCTCACTGTTTCTCAAGACTATGAGAAGATTTACACTCTATTTCACAGAGTTTATATGAAGAAAAAATATAGACGTATATCGTGAAAAATGAATATATCAAATGAAGTTTACATGAACAAAGCTGCTGATGAAGAAGGAGAAGCAATGCATTGTGGGAAAGCCAGTGAACCCTCAGAATCTGTTCAATGCAGGTTCAATGCACTCAACTGCTGTTGTGATGGAAGAAAAGGAAAAGAAACTGTCTTTTTTTCTCTAAGCACTACAATACCCACAATCCTTTGGGGTAGCAGCTTGTTCAGCCAGATTTGTTTTGTTTTGTCATTTCTTTTTATTTTAGAAATCTGCTGTGTGGATCTGGTGTTACATTGCAAAACAAGTGGGAATTGTTTAGAAAATTCTCAAGGGTGTCTACATTTTAAGAGGTTGAAATGTAGCTGTGTATTTACAAATATTATAAAAAGGAATATTTTTGTTTTATGTACATATCAGATAAGAAAATTCTTTATTTGTTACAGCTATGCACTGTAAAACGCAGCCTTTTTTAAATGAAAGAGAAAAATTTCTTAATTCAGAATGTTTGATCTGTAGTGATTACACAACATTGTACACCTACATGATGTTTTGTCATGACATGATTGTAAAAAAAGAACAAAAAATCTACGTCGACTGCTCAGTTTGAAAGAGCCAGTAAACAATGTCCTTTTTTAAGTTATTTTGTTGGGAAAGGGGTTAAAAAGTCAACCATGTATAGTTTTATGTGTTTATAATGTCCTCAATCAGTGTTTTTGCCAGTGTAAAATGCATTTTTAAAGTTTTTTCATGATTGGGAAAAAAAATGGACCCCCATTTTTTATGAATTATTTGAAAGCAATCAGTATATACACTTTGATTCTTTGGAAGGTTTTTGATCAACCAAATAATTTTAATCCAAAATATTTATGTATTTATTTTTTAATCAAAACTATTTATGAGTTCCATTTGATGTGGCGTACCTCATAAAATGTATTTATTATTTCTGTTATTTAACTCACAATCACTAGACAGGGTGTACAATAATATCTTTTGGTGGGAATTTTGTGACCTTCTATGCCTTTCCGAAACAATCACAACATTTCAGCCAGTCACTCCTCATGTATCAGTCTATAAGTCTACATAGAAGCAATAAGAATAATTTTGCAGGATTTTGATTAAGTTGTCCCACTGGTAACACTGACATGGCTGCACTCACGCTTTTTTGATTATGTGAATGCCAAACAAAAAGTTTACAATTCATTTCCTGACTTTTTTAATGATCTTGTATTTGATGTACAAATAATAACATATAGTAATAATATTCACAATAATTGCAAGATGATTAATAATAATATAAATGAAAGGAAAAAATCTATAAAAAGCAATAAATTATTTTTCAGAGTTGTATTTTAGCTCTTATCGTTGTGATTTTTTGGGGGGGATTTTGGACCCATTACCCAGTCACTGGTAGCTAAGATGACTCCATTCCAATAAGTCTTGGCCTCCCTCTGCTTTTCCCTTTAAAGATGTCCGTGATTGTATTGCACGCATTACAGTGTGGTACTTCGTGTGCAAAACGTCCGTGTGTGTGTGTGTGTGTGTCTAAGAAAAATATTTGATGTGTAGTGCATGGCTAGTCCAGAACCACTTGGGATATCTGATTTTCTCAATGGCAAATTTTTTACCATTTTTATACAGCAGTCAGCCGTAACATCAGGACCACTGTGTTTGTGTTTTAGAAGCAAGAAAAATGGGGAAATTGCATTGAATCTACTTTGTCCAACATTTGACCCATCCTTCAATGCAGTGGACCCATTTCCAGCTGGAGGATTGTGCATATTTTGGGTTTTTGTTTTGTGAAAATAGACAACTTATTCGAGCAATAAGCAACAATAATTCGACTTAACATCTGCTAAAATCCATAAGCAAGTCCCTCTAAACTTGGAACCAGATTCTGAGCAAAAACACAACAACTTCATTTCAATTTGGCGATCAATATTGCGCTGGTGGTCGTAATATTATGGCTGGTGGTTGTATAGGCCTATAGGAGAAAACCCTACACAACTAAGGCATGCCGCACCACTTCTTCCCCTCTCTCTCCACTCACAGTCCAGATATGACATAAAAGGTAACCTTGCAGTTTCTAGTTCAATTAATATCCTGTTCCGAGTAATGAGAGAACCAGCTCTCATCACAGGAAGGGAAAAAAAATTGTGTATAATGAAAGCTATGCTGATCACAGACTTCCTTTTATGGAGTTTGACTATTGGAGACATTTTTCAAAGAAGGAAGTGAAAAAATACCTGTGTTTTATGGCATTGTTTTTCCCTTTCCGTTGTCTGTATAGCATTTGGGTAATGGTGTCGTGTCCCATTGATTGATGTGGCTTTAAACATTGTAATAAAAAATGCTTTGTAAATTGCCTAGAGTAGCAATATATTACACCTTATGGTTTCAACTGTGGCGGACTTTTTAATGATAATGTCACCTATTGAGGACACTGTCTTGCTTTGTTTTTCTTTGGAAGGACATTACGTGTACAAGTGTGTGTGAGATTTTAAGGGAAGTGTGTGTGTATTTTTGGATGTTCTGTGTCCTATCCACGTTGCCTTTTTCTGCCAAGTCCTTACCAATGCCTTTGTGGTTCTACCTATTGTACGACTTTCTTGTGAATTTTAATTTTTTATGTGCAATTCTCATCAGCCTCACCATGCCAATAAAGGGAAATGTGTTTGAAAAAATGTGGCATTTTAGTGTGATAAATGTCCCATCATCCGGCACTTTGAGCCGTTATGATGTACCGCTCACAGCGATTACCATCAAGGAGAGATCCTTGAAGTTTTTCAAATGGAACATTGAAAACTTGGAAGAAACAATGCAGTCTTAAGAGGTTTTTGACTATAAATCTATCATTATGCTCACAGAAAATGGTACTACACCTGCTCTGCGTTAATAGCCATTTCATCATAATAATTACTGTATATCTTTACGATGAGGAAAGTGAGAATATTAGAAATAGAATGGACATGGCCCTAGAGGCTTATATGAGTAATAATAATACCACCATAACTGCTCATACTGCTGCTACTATGCAAAAGGTTGTACAACTACAGATACGTCTGCCATCTGGACGAGAGCAGGAGTAGACCAGGACCAAAACAAGTCTCTGTCGGAACTTAAAGGTCCTATATTACGCAAAACTGACTGGAGTTGCTCTTTGTTTCATTTACAGATGTTTGAGTAACCTCTTATTATTAGTCTGTCTAGTGGTAGTTTTCAAGTTAACAGTTAACACTTACCTTTTGCTTAGAAGAGATTTGCAAATCCACATCTCTCTAGTGAAGCTGTATGGACTTTTAAAACACAGTGGAGCACTACCTGTATTACCACATGACAAGGAGTGTTTTATGTCTGAGACAAGAACTCAGCCTGAATATGCAGGTTTTGTGTGTTAAACATGTGAATACAACAAAACATGGCATGGTGGCTGAGTGGCTAGCACTCATGCCTCACAGCAAGAAGGTTCTGGGTTTGATCCCGGGTTGCCTGGGCCTTTCTGTGTGGAGTTTGCATTTTTCTCCCCATGTCTGGATGGGTTTCCCCCATCAGTCCAAAACCTGTTACATAGTTCTGCAGGAAGAACAGTTGATAACCAAGGTCAGTTAAATACAATCAATCAATGAACCTGCCCAGGGATGACAGGTGGAAATTAGCACTGATGCTACAACCTGATGTACAATGCATCTCTCCTGTTAAGGTTAATGCAACAATTGTGAGCTGTTCCTGTCTCAAATAAATAAATAAAACACAACTCCAAGTATGTTTTAAGAGGAAACAACATTATAACGTATTTCAAAAAATAGAGTAATATGGCCCCTTTAACAAATTTCAAAACATGGACCAAATCTTCACCCTATAGGCTCTATTCACACTTATGTCTCAAACCAGGAAAATGTGACAACTTCTGGCGAGCTCTGTTTGCGGCAGTAAGTCTGACAAAATCTAGGAAAAATGCGAAAATGGCCCAGTTTTCTACATCTAAGCGTTCCGTTATGTTCAGCTAATCAACAATTACAACCATACCTCAGTTTTCATCATTTCCCCACTGACACACAACTCCGAGCTTTTAGAAAAGATGAGGGCATCAAGTTCAAGATGATTCCAAACAGCACATACGTCGCAGTCTTCATTTTACCGCTGATCACATTTACTTCAATGGGTTTGATCACAGTCGGTCGGCGAACCCAGTGTTGGGAACTACACCGGAAGTTGTCATCGCATCTTTCCAACCGTCTTCCTGGTTTGTGACGTAACTGTGATGACAATATTTTTAGTATTTTAGTGTCAAAACCAGAGCTACCAACTCCTACTATACATTTTACCTATTTCTTTGCCAATTAAGACAAAATACATAAACTTATTCTTCAAACATTACCCATGTTTGAATTGCTATCCAGTTCCTATCATCTTCCTTTTGTATATGAAACTCCAAACCACAATGACACTGGCCCGCCCTACCCACATCTGTCTCTCTCTCTGAAGTTGGGCTCCTAATAAAGAAAGCCTTATTCTGAATAACTTTGCCTGTTTGAAATTCATCTCACCTGGGAAAGGAGCACATTGTCGTCTTTGTCTGTGTCCACAACTTGACTCCACACCACGAGCCGGAGAGTTAATTAAAAAGTTGGGGGGAACAATTTCATTAGCACTATGGATAGTCAGTTGATGTCGAGCTTGATATTAAATGGGGCTTTATTATAATAACCATCTTCTTTCTCTGTTCTAGCATTCACGTTAATCTAAGTATAAAGTCGTAGTATTCAAAATATTACTTAAAATGATAATTAATTCTCAAGGCATCTCACGAACACGAAAGACAATGTTTTTATGTGACTTTTGAAACAGCCTGTAGCTCAAAATGTTGAAATGAATTTGTTTTCCTAGTTTATTTTAAATGACTGAAAGCCGTATGTTAGAAAACTCTTCTCAGATATGTGTTTTCAGTTTTAACTCCATGTTTATAGGCACCATTTTGAGTACTTTTTTCAAATTGATGCTGGGTCAATGGCTATTTTTTCATCGCTTTGTAAACCTATGGATAAAATCAAATAAGGATTACATGCCATATTTCTTTACAATAATATGTTATTGAGTACAAAGACTGGAATTTGGAATCTAGTATCACAGGGGGTCTACCATTTTTCCCCCAAAGAGAAATATGTGGAGAATGTGCATTAAACTTTAAGGTTGGGGGTCTGATTGTGGTTTTTATTAAGTCTGCTGTTTAGCCCCAGAGAAGAGAGCTGTGCCTTTCATTTTCTGCACTACACCAGGAGGTCCCCACAGCTGCCCTTTCTACTGAATGAAACTGTCCCAAGAACCTCCCTCCCTCTCTTTCTCCCTCTCTCTCCTCCCCCCGCCGCTTCCCCTCTCTCTTTCCATCACGAGAGGAAGGCATTTTTATCTGTTATTTTTTATTATTAACCAGGAGATAAGCAGCTATCTCGACTCCAGTTGGAAGTAAGTAGTAGCCTTGGAAGATAATGGGGTTTGATGCCACTGCTGCTGTTGTGTAAAGCTCTATATTATTGGGGGTCTCGCTGGGGTCTCGGTGCTGCTCAAAGCCACAAAATGCCCTTATAGCTGCCAGTGTGTGCTTTTTTTTTTTGGCTTTAGATTACATCATTGGAAGAATGATTCCATTTGCAATTGTAATTCCATGGTATAGCTGTTATAGGCCTTTGTGTATTTAACGTTTGAACAGCATTTTTTTTGTCACAAATAAACAGTCCATAAAATAATGACACTGAATGTACTCAAAAGCAATACAACAATTCAGTTCTGCTATGTTTACATTAACCCTCTCCAGGCAGGCGTTGCAGATTTGCAACACCTAAATTCCAAGTACCTACTTACTCCACATCCATATTATATGAGCTTTTTTTACTCAGGAGCCTTTTCTCCCATCCATGCTGATAAACGTGGGCGATGCAGACTGTGCATGAATGGCTACACGCAAACTGCCTGCCAGTAGTGCAAAATACTTTTTTTGTTTACAAAGGATAAAAAAGTCAGAATTGTATATTACTACCCCATATTATAATTTTCCCCAAATATCAGATTTTTCCTGATGCTAAAAATTAATTTGAGCCTGAGAGGGTTAAAGCTGGATGTGAATGTGTTTATGCATGAAAAGCTGCAGTGCACTCACTTGTCCATCCAAAGGCGGTGTGCTCAGCACTGACAGATTGCACTGCACAGTAGAAGTAGTCTTACCTCCTGTGTACACCATGGAGGTAGCTTTTTCAACTTCTTGGGCTCTCTAAAGTAAAAGTAAGTTAATTCTTTTATAAACAGTTTTTGTTTTGTTTTACCAAATATAAATGTAAGAAGCTGTGCAAGTAAGCTGCAATCTGCAATCACAGTTCACACTGGAGCTGCACTGTCTCCCTTCCCTGAGGTTGTCCAGTATTTAGGAGCTCAGAATGGCTTCCTTCCTCTTGCTGAGGGCAGTTTTGATGGGCCAATAGTGCTTTGTCATGTAAAAGAGAGGCCAGTCCAGTTGTGAAAATGTGTTGCCATGTAAACATTCCCTAACACTCAAAATACTGCATGTGTTAGTTAATGTAAACATTCCCTAACACTGAAGTTCCAAGTCTGGGGATCAATAAAGTATTTATTTATTTATCTATTTATTATAATGAATATTCAGCAATGATAAATTGTTAGACTTAGACTTCTTAGTGACCCCTTGTGGCTGGAGTTGGTGTCTTTGCGCACAAGCACACGGTTCACTCCAGGTGTAATTGGTAACACTGCCATATTGAGAGTGGCCCTGGTGCTTCAGCTGCTGCTCACATTCACAGAATGGCCTTTGTTGGTGGCACCGTTGAGGCGAATGTGTAAATGGTTGGTGTTCTGAAAATAGAGGAAGCTCGGTGCGATGATGACAGCTCGTTTGGGAGCGTCTCACCGCCCCGCTGCAGTTGGGTGTCATGTAAGCAGGTTAGAGTGTGGAACAAGCAAGTCTCCCGTAATAAGATTAGACTACCTGAGACTGCTTAATTAAAGCCCGTGGGGTGGAACATGAGCAATCCAACTCCCAATTTACGACCGAGGAGGATTTTTTTACTCAGCCGAGCACCACATTTACTGAAAAATATTTCAGTGCCATGTCAACATCTCCGCACATGACAGTGGTGGATGTGTTATTGTTACAGCTAGTTTTCAGTGTTACTAACATCTATTTAAGTGTAGTTGTGCCTACTCCCCGTGAAACAAAATTTCAAGACAGAATGGTGCATGGAAGGTACTACTTGATATTCACTTGAGAATTAACATGCCAAAAATCTTCCCAGGAGGCGATAACTGAATTGGGGCAAGATTTGCACTGACTGTCCAGTGATTCAAACTATGTCATTGTTATTTAAAAATGTATGTTACTCTATGTGGTATCGTCAGTAAGTACGATTTGTGTAATGTAAATTAGACTTGCACACTGCACATATTAAATGACATCCTTTCTTCCCCTGAAATGAACCGACTATTTCAGATACAACATTGTATGATAAAAGCATGTGACTTAAAACAATGTGATATCTCAGTATGTCTAAGATGCTATCATCATAATTAAAGTTGGGGATTAATAATTACTTCACAAAAATATCAGAGGAAACGAAATGAAGAGGATTATTGCCGAACAGGGAAAGGGAATCAGG